AGAACCCTTGACTGATTTGTATCAAATTTAGATTGGTAGAACCAAGGTGTGTTCTTGATTAAATAATTCTAAATTGAGAAATGTTTATATTTAAATTAGTTGCCAAGTAAAGTTGGGATACCAAGCTACTATTATATATGTCAAAGATTGAAATAAAGGTCGTCGTTGCTTTCCACAGAATTTAGGATCAAGCTGTTCATAAAATCCCTCCGGGTCAGTGATATACTAAGGGTTTGTATACATATATTCGATATATTACATATATTCAATATATACGTTCAGCTACGCTCTTTAAATAAATACAGGGATAAATACATTTCGTGAAAATGCGCGATTTCGTACATTCTTTGTATTGAATGTCTGTTATAGAAGTATGTGATGTGTGAATAAAATGTGAGGTGAAAAAATGTCCAAAAGTGAACAAAAATTCTTAGCAAGAAAGTTAAAAGATCAGGAGCTATCCGAAACAAGATCAGGAGCTATCCGAAACAAGATCAGGAGCTATCCGAAACGTATCATTTTTATTGTAAACAAGATGAATTTAGGAATTTTTCTCTAAAAAATAATAATTTCTTTATAAACTTATGAAAAAAAAGTTCGTTATTCAAAGGTTAGATATAGCTCTTAGATTAAAACAGATTGTATTTAACTTCTTGTACGTAAATATATATATAAAGTAACCGATATCTCGCCATAAACAAATATTACTATATCTTTGTAACCTTGAGTCTTAGACTTTTTCAATTTCAAATTTATTAATTCAGTTCTACTTGATTATATATTCAAACATTGAAATATTAAAGGTTTACACCATCAGATTGCAAAGATAAAGGGATTAGAAAATAAGTGTTGGATGGAAGTAAACAGTTTATTTGAAATTGAAATATTAAAGGTTTACACCATCAGATTGCAAAGATATAGGGATTAGAAAATAAGTGTTGGATGGAAGTAAACAGTTAATTTGAGTCAAATATTCAATATGAGTGGTAAAATCAGTTAACGACATGCTATCAAAAAAGAATTTGTAAAAAATCCTAATTTCTATGACTTAAAAAAATCTTGAGGAAAAAAGTCATAAATTGTGTCCTGCTAAAAAAATTTTGAGAAAATCATGTCATAACTTTTATATTTTTATTTTCTGTCACGGAAGTTAAAAGTCCTTGAAAAAAAGTAATAAAACTTTTTCTTAAACTGAGTTTAAATGATTTGGACAGATGGAAGGTGTGCAGCCGCAGGATAAATTGGGGAATGCAAATACAAGTTTCAATGAATTTATTAGAGACACATATATAGTGCAGTTGAACTAAACAAAATTTACATTTTGAATGAAAAGGCAGGAAACAAGAAAAGCTTAAGGAAAACTCAAATCTAGAGTTTTATGTAAGAAATTACAATCATGACTTTGTGGTCTTGTATAGTCTTAGCTAATCTAGAATTCTATTTCGATTCCAAATATTAGTAAAGCAAATTTTATTTTCAACAGCGTTACAGAAACGGGAGCCATGATCAAAATATTCCATGAAATTTACTTTAAATAATTAACTATATAATAAAACAAGACATTCGTATATGTTCCCTCTGGATCAAATAGGTAGCCTGGGGATGACATAAATTCTATTTTTTCAAATTTAAAGTTTTTTATTTTTATTACTATCTTTATTTTTTAAGTTCAGAAATACACAATGTCTATGTAGTAAAATAAGGTTGTTAAGTTGTTATAATTTTCTCCCAGAACTTCTAGTTTCATTTTTAAATTTTCAAAAAGCTTTCATAAAGAAAAACACCTTCATTATTGCGACAACTTTAAGCTTTTAATGCAGTAATGTTTTTTCTAAAAATAGATTTTATTTTCAGAAAGTATTTATCCCTTAAGGACTTGACATTCATGGCTCCACGTAAGAGTTGATAGAACGATAAATAGATTTATGGAAAGCTGGAAGGATTAGAATGGTTACCACACGTACTCAAGCCAGCCTTCAAGCAACACAGGTAAAATACGTGGCAAAATTCAGTATCGATAAGTTTCGGGCACTTAGCATCCCCCCTTCCTCTTAAGATAATTTGAGCATTTGAATGCTTTTTTGCCTGTATTGCAACCATTTTTGTTATACTTACTTTACAAAATACGTGGCAAAATTCAATATCGATATATTTAGGTAACGTGACTTTTATAGATAACAAGTTCTAAGCTTTGAATTAGATTTCTTTCTAATTTATGTAAAAATGACCTTAACACAGTTCTTGGCAGAAATTTATTTTGTATTGCAAATGATTGTTCTGTAAATCCTTCGGATCTTAGTAAAATGTTAGTTAAGAAACAAATGAAATATTTTGATGTCCCATTGGAACATGCATGGAAAGGTCCGGTTTTACAACTTTTAAATACAAGAATGAATAATTTATATGTTGAAGGATTCGATGATTACGTAATAACTGAAATGATAAATATGTTATGTAATGAGTAATGATCAATGTTGTCTATTTGTTCATAATTTTGCATATTTTTCTCTTTTCTTTTGGAAACCTGTATTTTCAAAAATTTATTTAAACAAATTTAAACTATTACACCATTTATATATGTATATTATATCTTTGTGTGTGAATAAATCGTTATAATAAAAACTTGTAGATTGGAAATTTCATTAATGAGGCATTTCATAGATAGGAAATTTCATGGATAGATATTTCATTTATATCAATTTGGACATTTCATTAATGGGGCATTTCATAGATCGGAAATTTCATGGATATATATTTCATATATAACAAACTTGTATATTGGACGTTATATTAATGGGGCATTTAATAGATCGGACATTTTATAGATATATGATATGACATTACCACAGACAGCCGTAGTACATTTGAATTTCCGGGCCGGGTCAACCTTTCCGTTCCCAGTTTGTACTGTACAGGACTAGCCGGTGCAACAAGGTTGACGCAGTCAGACTTTATGCTTCTTTAAGGCTGAATTTACTTTTACTAAAGGTGCAGAGGTGCGTGTTACATAGATAGACATTTCTATATATAACGCGTAGATTGGACATTTCATTAATAGGACATTTCATAAATTGGACATTTCATAAATCGGACTTTTTTAATGTTTGCTTACATCTTTAAAATAATAGTGTATAATATATTAGAAGAAAGATAACTTTCGTAAAAGAAAAATATTTAGCTTAACTACGAAAATCGTAGTTGTATCTGAAATCTCCTGTCATTAAATGCACTGTCTATTGTCTGTGAGCTGTCCATTTTCACTTGTAATAATGTTATCTTTTAAATGTCAATTTACGTTAGACCATTTTCTACAAACCCCCCCCCCCAAAAAAAAAAAAATTTTTTTGTTTTCATGTGGTGGATTTCTCCCCAGCAAAATGTAGGCACAAATTTTAAGATTGACTTTCCACAAACCTTTCTTGGATTCATGCGAGATTCTGCAAAAAAAGTAGTAAGATTAATTGATCCGTTTTTGTGTCTAATGGATACAAATAAACTGCAGAAAAACCAAATAAACATACGTTAAAAAAAAGTTTTTAATTTTTTCAATCCCACTTTTTAGTTCCAAAAATTATAGATCCCCATGAATTTGTTCACTTTTAATTACTTTAAATTAAATAATGTATAAGTTAAATATTGTATTGTTTAGATAACCTCTGATAGTAAGAAACTGTCCAGAATGGCGAAGAAAAAAGGGAAATTAGCAAAATAGAAAAAATTTTAAATGTTTTTCACTGTGTTTTTCCTAACATTCAAGTTTATGATATCATTATCTGTCAAAGTGGGTAATTTACTAATTTAATATTTGCAAAAGAGAAAAAAAATATTTTTTTTTAAATTGTTAAATACATTTAAGATTCAATTGATTCTAAAAAAATTTATAAACTAGGAAACTAGAATTCTATAAAGATATGAATTTGTACTTAAAGGAATTGAGTCTTTGGAACAAAATTAAATATTTAAACCACAATATCTTTAGAACTCGATGTTGTAAAACTTTGATATTTCAAACTTAGATTATTTGATCTAACAGAATTCATAGTTTGAAATATCTAAGGTATGCAACATTTGGTTCCAAAGATATAGTGATTAGAAAATTCCAGGAATTTTGTTCTCCCATTTTGATGGTCCATAAACCTTCGCTGTGGTCATGTGAGGTCCCACACAAATTTGGGCCCGATCGGTTCAGCCGTTTATCGGTTACAAACAAACAGACATATATATATATATATATATATATAGTATATTGATATAGTATGCTAGTAAAGCTGTAAATCGTAAAACTGTAGTTTGCTAAAGTTTAGAATTAGAATTTTATAATGTTTGAAATTGGATTGGTTTTAATAGAAGTACAGTTGGTCCTCTTTAATGTTTATCCTTATTATGACTTTTAAAACTAGGTACAGTGGTCGCGTTTATATCAATACAATGAAGACGACTTTTCTATTCATGTTTTGATTTCTGTCAAGTTTTTTTAAATTACAAGTTTACAAGTAAACAAAGAGAAGTTGTTAATTGACAGCTTCTCTTTGTTTCCATGTTTTTATGAATCGCTAGTTGTTGGAAAGCTTGGTAGAAATCAAAAATTGTAAATTAAAGTCGTCTTCATTGTATTGATACATACGACGACGGCTGTATTGCAATACTAATTCTTTACAAAGACTTTCACGGGGTTGTCGTTCCATTCCAATGTTGAAGTTCCCCCCATTAGAATTTTGTGGATTGACAAAAGAACAGATTCCTTTCTCTAAATGTTTCTCTAGAGTTTCTTTAGAAATCTCTAACTTGTTAAACCTTGATTACTCTTTGTCAGTTAGTCCTAAATTCATGTTCACAATTTTACAAAAATGTAAAATTTTGAAAATTATAAAATAGTATTTTGCTTTTTCGACTCAGCTGAGAAAATATCTGAGGAGCAGAAAAAAGAACAAGAACTAGATGAAGAACAAGAAGAGGAGAAAGAAGAAGAACAGGATGAAGAACAAGATCAAGAACAGGAACAAGAAGAAGAACAAGGTCAAGAAGTAAGTTGTTTTATTCAAATCAAATGTGCTAAAAGGGACTGTAGGCGTAAGTCACTTTTGTAAAGAAACCAATATTAAAAATAATCATTTTTTAAAATTATAAACATGGATATCAAATTTATACATGATCATACAAAGCCTGTAAGAGTACTGTTGTGAATCGGACCCTCAATAAATGGAAAATCACTTGAAGCTACGTTGTGTATTCCCTTTAATTAGAATTCCTAAACAATGTTTTTAATTTTATAAATGAAATGATTCTTTTATTTCTTGGCAAGAAGTATTTCTTTAGCCATAATCCCTTCCTAGTTTCAATCTAAAATAAATTTACATTGCAAGTATACATCATGTGCAATGTTTAATATTTTTCCACATTTTATTTCATTCAGGTCAATTTCAATTGCATACCACAATTTTGGAAACATTGCGGATGGAAAGTTTTCTAGATTTTTGTTTAAACCACGTTCTAATTTAAAATCGATAATTAGAAACAATTTTATTTTACTAGGCTTCCATGGGGTCCATCTTTGATTTTAACATTTTTGTATTTTTATCGATTTCTTTAAGGTACATATTTTCAATTCTAGTCATCCATAAACCTTCTCTGGGATCATGTAGATCCCACAACAGATTTGGGTCTGATCGGTTCAACCCAGTCCTAAGGTTTATTGTTTACAAACAATCAAACAAACAAACAGACAAGCAAAGTATATATGTAGATAAATACTCAATATAGATATGATTAGATCAAAATAAAGAATACCATAAATTAATCGTATACAATATAAAATAACATCATCCAATTAAAAAAAAATATATATATAAAGGTTTTAATGATTTGTAAAAATATCTGATATCTCTTAAAGAATCTAAAAAATATCTCATAAAAGATTTAAAGAAACTTTGAATGTTGTTGCAATTTGGGTGTATTCGTTGAATGGTCGTTAAGGCAACAATCCGCAATAGAAACAAAATAGATAAATATCTACAATTCCAAATTTTCAATTTTCCTGGGAAAATACAAATAATCTGTATAATTTTTACCGAAACAAAGGTTTGTAATTAAATTGGACTTGCCGCGCTCAAAAATATGAGGGTCATTTTGAATTATATGTACAGTCCCTTTAAATTTCATATATTTTTTTTTGAGTAAATCTGTTTTATGTAAAACAGTTTTATTGCTTTGTTTGATTTCTCTCTCTCGACAAACTAATATTTACTTTTCTTGTTTAGGAATCAATAAACCCTGGGGAGGAACTGTACTGCAAACAAAAACAAAAATCAGGAAACCAAACCAAACATTTGTCATCAATTTTAAAGAAAAACATTAATCTAAAAAATCAAAAGAACAACCTCGCCACAAGTTCTAATTTTCTAATCCATAACCTTAAGTCTAATGTCTAAGCTTAAAACATAAATTATTTACACGATCTGATTGCAAAGACATATGAATTAGAAAATTAGAGTTTTTGGCGAATTTTTAATTAATTTCTATTCTGTTACAAGAATAAAGGTGGAAAACAAGATATATAGGTTTTTACTGCCTGAACTGTGAAGTAATATAAAAATTTTAAATTTTTCTTACTTGTGATATTTCTAATTTTGAAATTTTCCTATCACAAAATGTTTGCTGCCACAATATGTTTCCATTTAAAAAATTAAATTACTCAAAAGGAACTGAGTTTTAGCCACAAACTCTGATTTTCTATACCCTGTATCTTGGCAACCCAATGTCGTAGACCTTTGATATTTCAAACTAATCATTATATTAGACCAAAAAACTTCAATTTGAAATATCAAAGGTCTACCCCATCAGATTGCAAAGATATAGGTATTAGAAAATTTGAGTTGGTGGTAAAAACTCAGTTTCTTTGTCCAATTAATGAATGTTTTTTCAGTTTAATCATTATTTGTAACAGGAAACATTTAGTAAAGGAAAGGTTTTGAAGCAGGAAACGTTTTGTGTCAGGAGTTATTATGAGGAGGAAACGTTTAGCGGGGAAATGATCGGGGCAGGAAACGTTTTCTGTCAAAAAATATCGTGTGGGAAGAGTGGGGAAACATTTTGTGGGTAAATGTTTGTTGGAAACGTTTGTAAGCAAATAGATTATTAAATACAATAGGTGGCAACAGAGAAATTAACCAATTATACACTACGTCACAAGTGTCAAATATTACAAGGAAAACGAAATTTTCTCAAATTATTTGACATGTTTTCCAAGATTAAATAAAAAAGTGTAAAAACAGAAACTAAAGAACACATAAAATTACACTTATTTTACTGTTAGAAAAGCACTTTATTCTAAATTTATTACTATTATTGATGATTGTGTCGGACACAAAAACTGAATTGACACTTGTGACGACAGAATACAACTGTACTGAGAGTGTACAAATTCTACGTTGCCATCTATTATACTAGAATCTATTTGTTTGTAAGTGCTCCCAAAAGTCTCTTATTATCTGAACTATATTTATATACGTCAATTAATAGAAAAACTGAGTGCATTATGCTTCATAAATTATTCAGAGAACTTTTAATATAAATATAAGAGTATTTTCTAAATAATCTATGTATAAGTAGCGAGTACTTTGTTCTAGGTCTTAACTTTTCAGTTTTTTTTTCCTTAAAATTCATATTTTTCAACAGAATTGAACACTAAGTTTTTATCATTCTAAATATTTGGGGGGACAGAGCATAAACAGAATGAAAGAGCATTCGAAAACTTTAATTGCTGAAAAAAAGCTACCAGTCGACTTAGGAAAAGAAAATGTTTTTTTTTAATTTCTAAAAAATTAAAGCAGAAATTAATAAGTATATATATTTGAGGAATTTCAAAACTTCAAACTTAATATAATTTGTTACGAAAAGGATTGAAGGCTGTAGACATTTTTTTTTTAAAATTCGTCAATATTAGTCTTAAACTAGGACTCTAGTTACCATCAGGTTTTTTTTCAGACCTACTTTAAATACAAATATACTAGATTTTGATTAAAGTTGCAAACTTTGAAAATAAAGACAATATTTCAATTTTTTATGTAAAAATATATTAATTATTTGGTTTGGTTTGGTTGAAGGGGTTCGAGATTATCTTAAAGGTTTCGCCAAGAGGGTTATTATCTGTTCTCTTCTAGGTACAGAAAATAATTAAATTAAAACATAATAAATAATATAAACAAAGTTTTGAATTAAATGGACTGGTGGAGTAATTTCAGTTGAACCTATATGCAAAGATAGCCATGAGCGATTCACAACGGTACGCTAGAAACCTGTTTTGGTGTAAATGTACTCCAAAGTAAAAGGGACTGTGAGCGTAATTTCAAGAGAACCTCCTTGAAAAGATGGCAATACCCTATTCACAATGATACCCTTAAAATCTTTGACTGATCAAATTTGTTGGAAAATAAATATGTTCTTTCAATTTTTTATTAATTTCTTTTAAAGTAAAATATGCGTTAATGTTAAGGGACCCAAGTAACGCTTGCATCTGCAGCTGCAGCTGTGTTGAGTTCACACCTGTTAACAGTGTACGCGGCATTTTACAGGAATTCAAACGGGGTAAAAGAGATTCAAACACAGAGCTCTCTTTACTCGATGAACAGTCAAAGTTTTAAAGGGTACCATTTGCATGGAGGGTCACTTGAAATCAGGCATACTGTCCCTTTAAGGAACTTTTAAACTTGGACCATTTTCTTCAGCAGAATTTACAGTTTTAAATATTAAAGGTTTAAACTATCAGTTTCCGAATTTAATGAATTTAAGCCGCGTCTCAAATCCCCCAACAACCGATGCGCTGGCTTAAATCTTGAAAAATTTAATACAATTTTAAGTGGAACCAACCATATTTGAGCCGCGGCTCAAATTTAAGCCATGGCTCAAAATTCTTTAAATTAGGCCTCTTGTTAAAAAAGAATAAATAATTAGATAATTAAGTTTGATGAATATACTGTTTTTATTCTGTTCAAGAAAGTACGATAACAGCATAATATTTTCCATTTAGACAGAAAAATAAAAATAGTTATTTTTTTAGACGTATTTTCAAGTGACCGTACGGCGTACAATTTTAAATTGGCATATCCGATTAACACCATTACCCTTCAAACCCTCTTCTTCTGGTCATAGATGAAGGAGAAATTCTTTTATTTCAGACTAAAAACTGCAGAGGGTCTACGGTCTACTGTTCTCAATGATAATCAGACAAAGAGAGGACACCGTTGTGAATCGGACATGCCGCTTTTTTAAAATTGAGTTTCACTTGAAATATTGTACACAGTCCCTTTATACTTGTTTTTATTTTAGTAATGATTGGGAGGTCAGCCTGGCCCAAAGTTCAGCCTTATGTTTGGCCTGAAATTCCTAGCAAGGTAAAACATCTTTAATTTCATTAATTACGTCTGCATTAATGATTAAATTGCAATTAAGACTTTTTAATTTTTATTATTTAGAATTATTAAATAAGAGTTTTGAGTGAGGAGATAAGAAAATGATTAGCAAATAAGACAATATAAAATTTATGAACAATCGATATTATATCTAAGTTTTGTTACTTATTCCAAAATTTGGATTTTTATTTCCGAAAAAATCCCATTAAGTTATAAATAATGGAGAGTAAGAAACTCAAAAACAAGAATAAAAAAAATATATTTTGAAGGGAGAGACTGACTAGGTAATGTATATTTAAACTGAGACTAGAGTATTGTAGAGAAAAAAATAGGATTCATTTGATAACAATGAGACGTTTTTAACGTGCATAATTTCTAAATATGAGCCTAAAATCGTTTTTAACGATAGGACTTGATGTTTTTCTCAACCTGTTTGTACAGGTGAAGCTAGTTTGCAGAATAGTTTATACTTGTTTCGTCGGGGTTATTAAATAATTTAAAAAAAAACGATTCTTTTGATGACTAATCCATCTGTTGAGATTTTACAAAAGAAATTAAACTCTTAGAATAATACACCGTAAACAAACTTGATACAATTCAAGTGAATCCTAAGACTTTTCTTCATGATACTGCACTCTCAGTTCAAATATGGTACCCAGCCAGTCTCTCCCTTTAAAGGGTAAAAGAAACAATGATAAAGTTTATTGTGGTCAGTTAGAACTTTTCTTTTTAAACCTCCTATTGTTGTTATCCTTAAACTTAGTACTTTTTATTTGGTTCTGCAGGGTTTCCATTAAACTTAGTACTTTTTATTTGGTTCTGCAGGGTTTCCATTAAAGCAAATGTGTAACAAAAATAGTAAACTTACATAAACAACATGTTTTTCATAGATAATAGAATGACAGGTTTGATACAAAATAAGGAATTTGTACTTAAGTTGAAAATGTATTTTAGTTATTCATCATGTACATGGTTACCCACAAAGGATGAGACTACAGAGACGACAATACAGAATTTGTTTTGTCCTTTTTCTTTAATTCAGGGTTCCTAAAGGCCCAAACTGGCTTAATTATTTATAAAACCATCACAATATTAACTTGAATGCAGAAACCATAAATAAAGCTTCAAAACCTCTTAAGCGTTTTAGGTCGTCTTTACAGTCTCATCCTTTATGGGTAACCCTGTATACTGAAAATAATTATAATTTCGTAGAAATTTTTTACGCTAAAATTGGCAAAAAATAAACCATGAAAATATTAAAAATTTTACATATTATTCTATAAAGCATAAAAAGTAAGTTCAGTATATACGTTGTTGGATGAAAAAAGTAGAAATGCAGTTTTAGCAGAAGTAAATTTAATTTAGTTGCAATTTTGTCTATACTTATTGCAAATTTCCTGTTAACTCCCCCTTAAATTGATTCATTAATCAAATTTTTTTCCTCGGCCTCCACTCCGCGCCGGGTCCCTTGCCCATGATGTTAAAAAAAGATTTAAGTAATAATAAGTTTCGTGTACATTCATATACTTTAATAATCCACCTTACAATATTTGACAATTCTAAATATTTCAATTTCAAAGAATATTCAGTTTTTCGATTGCAGACTTCTTATGATTTGAGTAATTTCAATTAGAATATATTTAGAAGAAATTCTATGTTCTTTCGCTATGACATAAAAAAGAATTCATGCATTAATAATAGTAATAACTAATGTGTAGGTTAATTCAAAAATTTTAGGCTTTTAGGGCGCTTTTTTCTGTAAATAATTTTAGCATTTAAAAAATCCAACTATTTCCCAGGAATTTTGTTCTCCCATTTTGATGGTCCATAAACCTTCGCTGTGGTCATGTGAGGTCCCACACAAATTTGGGCCCGATCGGTTCAGCCGTTTATCGGTTACAAACAAACAGACATATATATATATATATATATACAGGGTGTCCCAATAAACATGGGAATTCAGTGACGAATTCGATATCGTCTTTTTAAATAATTCTTTGATTTAGTATAGGGATACCTTCTGAGAAAGCTGTAATCTGTAAGAGTTTCGTCTGCTCTGTTCACATTTTGTTTGTTTATGTTTTGAATGCATACGGTTGTACTTAAAACAAAAAAATTGAAGTATACAAACAGAGTAAACTTGTCCGTCAATTCACTGTTCATCTTGCGGAGACATTATAAACACATATTTACAGCCATTTACCCTTTTCATAAAATAAACTCTAGCAGACATAATAATATTATGGCTTTTTATGTAATACAATGCTAATTCATAACAAAGACGATATCGAATTCGTCACTGAATTCCCATGTTTTTTGGGACACCCTGTATATAGATAATATTTATTCTAAAACTAGGAGGGAAAACTGTATGTTCTAACAGAGAAATCATTCCGTGGTCATGTGAGCCGAGGCGACCATTTTGTGATGATGTATGCCCCGTGGTGTGGTCACTGCCAGCAACTGAAACCGGTTTGGGAACAGGTAATATGTACAATGGTCGGCCTTTATATTAATACAATGAAGATGACTTTTTTATTTAAGTTTTTATCCCTATAAACAATCTTTTTTCAAATAACAAGTTTACAAGTAAACAAAGAGAAGCTGTTAATTGACAGCTTCCCTTTCATGTTTTATGTGTTTGCGTATTTGAAAACTTTGTAAAAATAATCAAAATTCGTGTCGTAGTTATATCATACATATACCAAGAACTAATACACAAAGAACAGCGGCGTATACAGAGTGGATTTCCCCCCCCCCCCCCTACCATAGGACTTCAGTTCTTGCTTTTTTGTAAGCAAAGGTCTTGATGTAACTTTGAAAATTTATTTTCTTGGATTTTACTAACAAACCGATCTTTATAAACACCGCTCTCAAGGCTGTATACATGGTTACCCGCAAAGGATGAGACTGCAGAGACGACCCTACAGAATAAATGCTATCTGCTCCCTTATAACCATAGTTTCCTGCAACTGTAATCTTCTTTCTTTGCAACCCTTTTAAAGATAATTAACATCCAAGAAGAAAGACTTAATTTAAAGTTGAAATCTTCATATTTCAAGTCGTCTTCTCAGTCTCATCTTTTGTGGGTAAACCTGTATAAATGGTTTTGAAAATTAAAAAAGACAGTCTCTGCGTTTTATAAATTTATTCAAGAGTTTTCAACTATCTGTTATAATCCTTTATAATCCATTAAAAACCTAATTTCATTTTTCAGAAGTTTAGCATTATAATCTGTCTAGAATTAGGGGAAATCATCATTAATCACTTTGGTCCCGGTTGAATCAAACAAATCTTTCTGTTTATCAAAATGTCTAACTTAAAACTTTATCTTCTTCCGTCGGCAGCAATTAATTAAAGATGGAAACATGAAAATAAAAATAAATCTGACAATTATGATTTACAAATACTTTTGTAATTTGAAAAATATTTTTCCTTTTTTAATAAAAATAATAAACTAATTGGAAGAAAGAATTTATTTTTGTCAATCATCGCAAAGTAATTAAATGCACTTCTGAAGTTTAAGTCAATCTTACCCTTAATTTATAAAGTGGCATGTCTGATTCACTTTGCCTGATCAAGGTTAATGGATATTATGCATATATTTTCTAGCTGAAAATATAGTTCTCAGATAGTAATAATTTTCAAAAAATGTTTAGCATTTCTGTAGATAAAATACGTTCGTTCTTCGTCTTCATATTACTCTATATTCTAGTTGGCGAAGTCCCAAGTATCTGGCGTAAAGATCTCCAAGATTGATTGTACAGCTAATCAGGAGATATGTAAATCCTTCCTGGTTCATGGTTATCCTACTCTTCTATACTTCAGGTATAGATTCTTTAAAAAACATGAGAATTAGGTGACGAAAGTGAAATTAAGATCCATTTTATTTTGACGCAAATCTTGATCCGCATTTCTTCAAGATATATTTGTATATATTTATAATTCCCCCCCCCCCTTATTTTTGTGCTAAAACTTTGTAAACCATACAGTTATTAATAATATTTCTTTATTTAAATTTATTCTAGGAATGGAGAAAATCTAGGAAAATATGACGGAGACAAGAGTTTGAACGGACTGAAGAAACACATCAAGAAAATGACCAACAAATCTGACGGAAAAAAAGGAAAGGGGGCAAAATCGAAACCATCTCCGGAATTGTAAGAAAAAAATTAACAAAAAAGTGTATTATGATTCCATTCTCATTTTTTCACCGATGAAATAGATTCTAAAAAAAAAAGTTTCAATGATACATTTTGAAACAAACTACTTAAAAGATTTGTCATAAACCAACTTAATTGGCTAGAGGAAAACAGACTGTAGTGGTCCTAAATCTCGGTCGTTTTTTCTTCAAAATAAAGCACAACAAAATAAATTTTTTTACTGTTTTCTTTTAAAATCTGTTATATGTTGTTCGCCTAAAAATAACGGCCAAAATTAAGCTAATTACATTTATTCTCACTTTTTTAAATTCGTTCTCTACAAGATTTTCAGAAATGTCTCACTTGTGATAAATAATGATAAAATATGTTCATTGTGTACAATTTTTTTTATCATCCTATAATTGTTTTCATTAATATTATTACGGAAACATGTACACAGAATAATACTGTAACATGTACTTATAGGTACATTGTATATTCCTGATGTTCACTGTATAGCAAGGTTGTAAAGTAAGGTTAGATACTGTGGATGCTGTCAAATGTACTAAAATATGTCTTCTTCATAGCTTGTGACGTTGTTGTTAAGAGGGGGGAATAATTTCCTCCACTTGTCAGTTGAACAAAGCGGAGAAAATCCTTCCCCTTCTCTCTCTAGCAACGTTGTCAGTTGTCACTTAATCTTCTGCCAGTATTCAGTTACTCATATAGGAATGTTGTGTCCATTGTTATGAAGACGACATTTCTTGTACATTGGAGCGCATTCAGAGTATCTAACCTTGAAATACATGTTGGCCCAATAAACATGGGACGACTTTCATATCGTCTTTTATCTATATGGTATTTTTTCATGAACACAATTATTGCAGTACTCCAGCTAAATCATCTAATATCGAAAACTCCTGGTCTGGAGATTTTAAAATGTGGTCTACCATCTTTGTATCTTCACAATTGACGGAGATATTGGAAAAATTTGGCAAATTATAATTTATTTACTAAATCAAAATTTTCTTAATATCTAATATCTTTTAAGATACAAGAAAGGTAGACCACTTTATAAAAAGCTCGTCAGACGTACAGCCTCGTTTTTTTTACTTTCTTTGCCATGCATTAAATGTCAGAAATCAAAGACGACTCTCAATTCCAATGTTTAATGGGGCACCCTGTACATCCTTGCTGTAGAGGAAATATTTTGTTCGCAATATTAATATAAGCAAAAGCTTTACCCGATTACGATTAAAAAATTTCCCTCAGAATCACCAGGAGTGCAGTAGATATTCTTATGTTACTAATTATAATTTTGAACAAAACTATTCATCGCTAAACCATAATATCACCAATATATTCTACATTTCGTTGTTCCGATGTGAAATGATTTAAATGTGAAATAAAAATAAATTTTCAAAAATTCAACTACAATTATTTATTTCTAAAAATCAATATCAATGTTCCCAGGCAATTTCTAAACATACAAGTTTTTTCATCGGGGTTTTTATGTTATGAGAAAAATGTATAGGCTCAGAATTTTTTCTGGGAACTTGGGGCTTAGGTCTCTCAACCATCGTTCATCCAAGATTTCTCTTAGATTGTTCAACGGATCTACCAATCCAGCATCGACAACATAAAACCATAGTAATTTAATTAGTCAACTCAATTTTCCGGGATTTTTTTTATAGATTTCATAACTTTTTAATACCAGGCATTAATACCTAAAATGGCCATCCTAGTTTTTCTTGGGATAAATTAATTGTAAAAAGACAATCTAATCCTGGTTGACATCGGAATATTAAAATTTTAAGAATATGAAAAGTCTAAATATGGATCTTCATTTTCGATGTAAAACGCAATTTAAAACAAGAAAAGGTTCCTAATTTTCTATTTCATTTTAAAAAAAGGATTTAGAAGATCACTATAATAAAGATTTGGAATATTTATAATCTCCTACACATCTTTCAGCTTGAATTTACAAACTGTGCATGTGCTTGAAGCTGAGCTAACTGTTCCTCAGTAACATGGATTACATGCTCCCCACCTTCTCCCTCTACAACCTGGAGTACAGGTTGTTCAACCACATTGCCAACAGGAAGTTCTTCATGAAGACGTTCAGGTTCCTGTTCTTGGGTCACATGAACAACTTGATCTGTGATTTCTTCCTGCTGAACAATCTGATATCCCTGTATTTGATCTTGAACAACCAAGTGTTCTTGGTTCTGAGCTATTTGTTCCTGTTCTTCAACTATTTGACCATGTTCGTGAACTAAATGTCCTTGTTCATGAACACCATCTTGGGTTTGTTGTGTTATCTGTTGAAAATGAGGAATCTGAACCTCGTTAGGATTTGATTCATTGAATTGAGAAACAAGGTTCTTACTTAAAGATTCTCCGTGAGGGTCAGTCGGCTCTTCCTGAAATTGGGTCTCTTCTATTTGGACATCCCCCTGTATTTGAGCCCCTTGGACCTGAACCCCTGGAAACTGGACTGCTTGGTTCTCCTTATCAGGTTCAGAACCATCCACCATACTGTTGATATCCTCCATTAAACTTCTCTTCTCCTCCGTCCTCGGAATAGCCTCTGAAGTATTCACTATCCTCCGGTCAGCCTCCGATTTTTTACCGGTTTCAGATCTTCGTTTAGCTTGTTTTTTATGTGCTCTAATTGCGTTGTACTCTTCTTGGTCTTGATGCCCAAGCTGTTCACGTACAACATCACTCAACTCTCGATCCTGTACAGCAAAATATAATTTATTAACTAGCTAAAGTGCTCGGTATTGTCCGTAGAATTTCAGCCGTTTAGCCAGCTTTAGCTCACATTTTTATATATTAGGCATCTGCAATTTCACCCTTAAATCGTGACTCAAGCGTTTTCTTTTTCAGTAAAATATTAAACAATATTGTATAAAAGTTCGCGGATTTCATCATATTTTTCGTGGATTTTCAAAATTGGACGAAAATCTATTTTTTATAGACAAATTTTTGAAATTCTAAGCATCAATAAACCTTCCCTGGGGTCATGTGAGTTGACTCAAAAATTTTGTCGTTTTTACGTTTATTTGATACAAAAACAAAACAGACAAGCAAAGTATATATATCGCTATTCTAACTAGATTGGCTTTCATTTTTTTCGGGATCACCCATTTTACACCAATTTTTCGGTGAAAGAGCAAAACTTGTTTTTGTCGCAATTACCAATGCGACAAAAACAAGCTAAGGGCTGAAAGTTGCATTTGAGAAAAAGATTATTTTGAAAAGATTAAAACTGCCACTAGTAGTACTTTAACGTACTATAAAAATACATTTGCGCAGCAAGTTTAAGTCCTGAGTCACAAACTTTAGGAAAGGAACGAATAAACACCTTAAAAAATTATGAACCTGTTCTACTATAATGTGTTCTCTTCGTCCATCATGTTGAATTATCACATGTTTTGTTACAATTGTGCTCATAGGAGGTCTAGACACACCCCTCCCTCTTCTATCCTTCTTCATCTAAATTAAATCAAATCATACTTAGCAGTGACGGCTTAAGGCTCCTAAATGCGGGGTTGAGTTTTTCCAGCCGCGTCACGCAAAAACGCACAACTCAAACCAATTTTTGAATTCTACACAAGATTAATAAATTAATGTATAAAAAAGAGGTCATTTGTTTTATATTTTAGCAGGTAAACTAAGTAATTTTTCGTATTGTGGGAGCAGAGAAAAATTGTCTGAAGAATAAGAAAATATTATTAAAATCACAATATTTACTGTCTTTACTTACGCACATCGAACATTTTCACACAAGGATACCCTTCAAAACTGAAGTGTATTTAATAGTGCGTCATTTTTAATATTCATATTGCTCTCAAAAATAAGCCGTTTTTCATGAATATCAGAATTTAGATTTGCAAAAAAAGAAGTTTTACAGTTAAAATTAAGAGGAATCATCCTTTTTTGTATTAACACTTTAATGTAAAGATTTAAATATATATTTTTTGCGTGACGCGGCGGGATTTTTGAAAAACACACTTTAAAGGCCCTAAATATATCATTTAAAAAAGTAGTTTAGCCCGGAAGAGTCAAATGTGGTGGTAAGGAAGAGGAAAGAGTGGTGGCTCATGGCTGCCGGAAGAGAAAAAAGGTAATATGTGGCCCAGGAAGAGGAAATAGTGGTGGCTCATGGCCGCCTGTCTTCCCCGCTCCCTTCAATAGTAAAGCTTTTTGAAAATTTCAAGAGACGATGGGAAAATATCGATGTAATTCTTTCTGAATTGGACAAATTCGACTCAATATGTCTCTACCTAAGTTTTGTTTTTTTTTCCTATAAAAAGTTTACATATCCCGTTTCAAGGAATAATAATTGTTTGTTTTTTAAACGATCTTTATCGTGATCTGGGGTTGTTTAACTTTATTTTTGAACCGTTATTTTCTCGTGATTTAAAAAAAATTAATCACGACTTCAATGGTTATTGTATCGTTAGAACTGACGAGGGTCAACCCAGACCAAAATATATTTTCAAAAATTGTGGAACTAACAAACACCTATTTTATTTACTTTATCAGGGTTGGATCATCAACAACACCGAATTTAAAGTTTTAGTTTCACTTTTCAGTTTTAATCTTAAAACACATTTTTTTTTATCATCTCGAAAGGTTTGAAATGCAACTTTGAATCAAGTATTGTTTAAAATATGTCTAAAGCAGTCTCTACCTTCTTTTCCGGTTGATCCATTATACAACCATTCAGTACATGCTGTATATAGGTCATCCTAAACATTTAAAAAAACTAACTCATGGGTATTTTCTTGTGATATTTTTCCCTACACACTGACTTAATTTTTCCTCCCGGATGCTTTATTGTAGGGGTTTCTTTGATAAATAAGGGGGGGAGGAATTGATAAAATAAGGGAGGGTGGGAGGAATTGATAATCAGGATAAAAAGTGCATTTTTGGGGAGTGTGAAAGGGGAGATAATTTAATACCTTCATTAACATTAAGCAACATTTGAAATTTAACCGTTTCCGCTGGAATTAAGACATAAATACATTTTTTTAAGAAAACGGAAAAAGTTGGGAGATATGGTTTATCTTATTCCTACAAACTTTTCACATCGCGTTAAAAATGACGGAGGTGTGCAAAATAATGCAACAAAAAAAACATAAAACTCCATTAATGAGAACAAACTAAATTAAACTAAATTGAATCAATTTTTTAAAAGAAAACTGAAAAGTGTAAAATTGTATTCCCTCCAACTTTTTACAACGCAAGAATAACTAAATTGAATCAATTTTTTAAAAGAAAACTGAAAAAGTGTAAAATTGTATTCCCTCCAACTTTTTACAACGCAAGAATACGGGACACGAATTTAATGTGCTTAATTTCCTTAAAATTAAAATAAAAATTTTAAAATTTGTTAACAGAACAAACGAAAGCCAACTGACCTACTGGGAGTTTTGACACCACAATCTGAGCAACTAAACGCTTGATTCTCTAGTTCCTTGACAAACTTGGCAACCTCCAGATCCTCTGTTCTAACATCCTTCTCTTCATCCTCATCCTCATCATATACCTTATACAGTGTAAAGTTGGTGAATAAGGCCTGATTGGAAAACTTTAGAATTGTGAATATTGAGATCTTTGTATTAATCTTAAAATTAATTTAATCTTTAGTTTATATCCAGAAGAGTGTTTAAAATGCAACCAATCAAAGTGGCGTATGCAGAATCCCGTACAGCCATCAGAAGCCAGGAAATTACAAATTTTATGCGCCATTTAATAAGAGATTTCTCATCGGTCGGAATCCGGTATGGATTTCCAAAAAGAGGGAAATAAAAGCAGAAATCAAAAGTTTCCACAATGAATCTTAAGATTAAGGGATCGGTATTATGGGAATCCAATTTTAAAGGTTTCAGCTCTAAAGATATATATTGTTCGTTACTTATTAAGACTGAAAGAAACTAATTTTATCAAAACAATGACAAAAACATTTATTGTTCAAATTCCTCAGTTTTTATTTTAAAAAAAAGAGGTAAAAACTTAAGAGAGAAGGGTTGTTTACATTTTGAATGAAGGACAGGTACAACTCAAAAACTGGTTTTGTTTAAAACAAACAACATTTGTGAACATTGATTGCTTGGGCCCGGCCCGGTCTGTCTAAATTGTCCAGGAATACTCATTTTCTTAACAAGATGTTATTGTTTACACAAAGGCAAACATGAATGCAAAATCATAAGATACATTAAACTTGGGAAATATAAATGTAAAGTAATATGATTGTAAATGTTAAGTAATATCAAAAATCTGAAGAAGAAAATAATACTTTTCGCAATTTTTAAGCCTTTTGGGTAAAGAAACACTATTCGAGTTAAATATTTACAATTCACAAATTAGGAAGGTAAACAGACCAAAAATACCTCTTTAATAGAATCAGTCTGCACTACTCCTTTGCTAACTATATTTCTACGCTCAACATTTCTAAAAAAACATAAAACAAGTTTATATCAGTGAACAAATATAAACGAAGTTAAAGGGACTGTAAACGTAATTTCAAGCGACCTTNATTGTATACCTGAGATGTCTGTTAATTAAGAAAAAATGAAAGATTGTCCCCTTGTATGTATTGTATACCTGAGATGTCTGTTAATTAAGAAAAAATGAAAGATTGTCCCCTTGTATGTATTGTATACCTGAGATGTCTGTTAATTAAGAAAAAATGAAAGATTGTCCCCTTGTATGTATTGTATACCTGAGATGTCTGTTAATTAAGAAAAAATGAAAGATTGTCCCCTTGTATGTATTGTATACCTGAGATGTCTGTTAATTAAGAAAAAATGAAAGATTGTCCCCTTGTATGTATTGTATACCTGAGATGTCTGTTAATTAAGAAAAAATGAAAGATTGTCCCCTTGTATGTATTGTATACCTGAGATGTCTGTTAATTAAGAAAAAATGAAAGATTGTCCCCTTGTATGTATTGTATACCTGAGATGTCTGTTAATTAAGAAAAAATGAAAGATTGTCCCCTTGTATGTATTGTATACCTGAGATGTCTGTTAATTAAGAAAAAATGAAAGATTGTCCCCTTGTATGTATTGTATACCTGAGATGTCTGTTCAGATCTTCTTGTGAGCAAAATTTATCCGAACAATGTGAGCAGTCAAATACACGGAACTTTCTTAACAAAAATTATTTTTTTTTTTAATGCGGAGATCAAAACCTCGACTTTGAAAAAAGGGATAATGTGTGTCCTTTTTTGTGTGCAATAATAATAAAATAATAAAATAATAAAATAATAATAAGATAATAATAAGATAATGATAAATAATAATAAGATAATGATAGATAATAATAAGATAATGACGACGACAACGACGACAACGATGACAACAACGACGACGACAACGACACCAAAAACAACAACAACAACAACAACAAGAATAATAATAATGAAAATAATTTAAAACAAACAAACTGGAATTTGCAATTTGATTTCAAGTGTTTCCAACAATCAAGTTTGAAATCAAACAAAACATTTAGGTGGGTTTGTTATTTGTAAAGAGTTAAAACCTTATAAACAAACGGAATGATTTATCCTGAAGTTTAACTCGTGTGGGGGGTAAACCTATCTCTTACTGGTCAAATCCCATAGAACTAAACTCGTTGGTTAAAATTTCAATGTTTGACGACTTTCAGCGAGGAAATGATTAGTTAACCCGATACCGCGTTTTTAAAATCTTCAAGCTCTGGATTTATTCATGGGACCAAAAAAAATGCTAGTAAGAATCAGAAAATCTGCGAAAGTTAAAGTAAAATCTATATTTTATTAAAAAATATTTATTACTTGTGTGAGACCTCTCGGTGTCTTCTTATATCAATGACCTGCTTTCCACACAGATCACAGTCCTAAAAATATTCTTTTTTAGCCCAATAAAAAAATTTAAAAAAAACTAAGGCTGGGAAAAAACGAATTGATAAAAATAGTTACTTTTTTAAACCAAATTTCTTTGAAAAGATCAATATTGTTTTTATTACCACCCTGATTTTAAAAGATCCTTCATTTCAAATTAAAAATAATAAGAAAAGGTAAATTAATTGCCCATTAAAAAAATTTAATGGATAAGTAACTTTCATTGAATGATCACTTGAAATTACGTGGACAGATCTTTGAACTCAGTTCAGTGTTCAAGGAACTTTTTGATATAATTTTCTATAGTTTTCTTTTTGTAAACACCATTTACCATTATTGTAGCTTTGTGGAACTTTTTAATATGATTTTCCAGTTTTCTTGTTTTTAAACACCACTTACCACAATTGTAGCTTCAAGGAACTTTGGGATATAATTTTCTATAGTTTTCTTGTTTGTAAACACCACTTACCACAATTGTAGCTTCGTGGAATTTCTTAATATGATTTTCTATAGTTTTCTTGTTTGTAAACACCACTTACCACAATTGTAGCTTCGTGGAATTTCTTAATATTATTTTCTATAGTTTTCTTGTTTGTAAACACCACTTACCACAATTGTAGATTCGTGGAATTTCTTAATATGATTTTCTATAGTTTTCTTGTTTGTAAACACCTCACCGGTGCAGGTTCCATTCCAACAGGTATACTTCCGAACACCAGGTCTAGACAAAAAAAATAGAAAAAGAGGGTACATTATAAAAAAATCGCCCCCACTCCCTCCCCCCAAACATTTTTCAAAGGTTTCGGGTAAAATTTTCGATGTGTTGCCAAAAAATTATTGACATTATAAAATGCCTAAGCCTAAGCAGTAAGAAAATCTTGTGGATTTTAGGATTAAATTCAAACATTCATCATCACATTTTTTATATAAGTTTTTTTTTAACTAGTGATAATCGCTGGTGTCGTTCATTAAAAATGTTAAGTGGCCCTCAGAACCGTAAAATACTTCTAGAATCAAATAAATTAGAAAACAGAATGTTTAAACATGGTCATTCTTTATGTTTAAACAGCTTGAAATCCACTAAACCGATGTTATTGTTCAGTGTTTACACTATCTAAACATTGTCAGGTTAAAGAGTGACGAGATACCGATTATTTTCCAATTTTACGGAATAAATTCTAATTTCAAAATTCTTCCAAAGCTTTCAAGATGGAAACTCGGGACCAATGTGTCGCAAAACAATCTTGTACAATGTTAAGTGCCTACTGCCTAGTTTAAAGCATTTCCACTTGAAATTTCATGACAAGTTTCTTGTTTGTTCCGAGCCCAAAAGTAATATTTTATTCCAGGGCAAAATCGACGTTCTTAAAGTTTCATAAATTTACGAACACGTTTAACCCTGATTTAATATTAGATTGTTTTGAAAAATATAACCATATCTAATGTAAACAACCCCCAACCCATCATTCATACATAAATGTCGTCGTATCTGTCGGAGTCTCCTGTGTGGGCGGTGCCGGATCGTGCTTCGCCTCCTCCACCTCCTCCGCCTCTAACCCTTTCTCCACCCCGACAATAAACAGAGGTTCCTGACTCCGCCCCAACCGTACTCCGGGCTGGATTCGATTACTCTCCAAGCTGGTTGGTCCACTGTACTAAAATATGTAAAAAAAATTAGATAAAATATCTTTAATCT